TAACAATAAATATCTTAAAATAGAATTGTGCTTTAATAACTTTTGCTATGCACAATTGTCAATGGCTTCCTACTAAAAGTTGTTTTACTTTAAAAAGCGCCATTTGCAATTCTTGAATACATTCCGGGTTTTGGATACAAATAAACCATTCTTACAAATACACAACGTGCTGGAGTACTTGGGGGCCAGTTAAATCTCTGAACAGAATACACTTAAGCATCCTAAAAGCATATAGTGATTAAAAACTTTATAAATGTAATTAACTTTATAGTACTTTTAAATGACAAAATATAAAGGTGATTCAAAAAGACCATGGCAGTCGTTGCCCCTCATTTTACAATTCACACTTTAAAATTTAAAGTACCAATACAAATATACAGTATTGGATTTTGTGAGCTTAACTTTAACATAGCAATAAACTTAACTTAAATTTAACAATATGCAAACCAAATTTAAATATTTTATTTCACTTGAATAAATTTGGAAGACCGTTTATTTTTAATGTCAAATCCTGCCCTGCAATTATTTATCCTCTTAAGTGGACTGCACTGTTATTTGAAAGCGTTTATGAAATTGAAACAATTATTATTGCATTTTCAACACGATTTATGGCAAGTTTTATTTATAATTTAGGCAGTGACCAGAATTAAAGCTGGCGTATATCTTCCTTTATAGATTTTTAAATCCTTTGTTTTTGTTTAATTAAATGGAGTGTCCAGTTTAAGAAAAAAATAATGTTTTATTGATTTTTGTATGAACTATATAATTACAATCTATTATTTTGTACATTTTCTACTAACATACGGCCTATTTACAAAAATAAAGTAGTATTATATATTAATAATAATAAAACTTTTAATTTCAATATTAAGAATAAAAATCCCAAATAGGAAGCTTAAATTTGGACAATACGCCTGAGTACTAAGTAATTTCTTTACCTTTGTTTTTTAGGATTTTTTTACTCACCTAAAGGCTTGAACTCTCAAACATGTAAGTTTGGAGACGCTCGGGTAAAGAAAAGTCAAGTCATAATGCCATATAGAAAGAAAAACTCGCCCTTACAGCCAAACAAATAAATTTTTTATTTTTTATTTAAATAAGACGATTGCAGTAGATTGCCACTGTGATACAGATTCAATATTTAATTTTAAGTCCCGCAAAGTACTACAATATATTTAGGTATTGCAATCCGGAAAACCGGATCCGGTAATCCGGCGAATCCGGCATCATTAAACGTCGACCGGATCCGGCATGAGTTTTTCGGATCCGATCACACGCCATTAGTTTTAAATTGACAGTTGGGTTTCAAACTGAAAGTTTGTCATTTGACTCGTTTGAGTGAACAAATGTGTGTTTTGTCGCGTTAAGGTAGTTGTCGTGCTGTAAGCAAACCATCAGAAAATTTTAAATTTTTCTATACTTATTAAGGACATCACAATACATATATCCTTAAAATATGAAGTCGATTGACCGTCTATAACCCGAGATAAATTCAATAAAAAATTGAATAATTAACATGGATTGTATAGGCTTTCTGTAGTTCTGTACCAGTTTCTTAGTTATACAGAAAAAACTAACTGTCAGAAGCTTTCAAAAAACTAACAGTGTTTTAATGTATTTTTGCTGAGTTTAAAAAAAAAATAATTAAAAATTTTTGACCGTCCAATTGTTTATAAATAATCGTTTAAAGTTCAACAATTTGTAAAAAGTATACATCACTAGTGTCAGATAAAAACAACTTGGCAACGCTGTACGCGAGTATAGATATTATTTCCGCAGTAAATTCAAACGGACTGATTCAGTCTCCAATATATCTATTGGTTGAGCATCAGCGACGTCGCCGGATTAAAACTGAAAATATTTGAAAGTATTACGTAAAGATAACGTCTCCAGGGTACAGTCTTGCGAACAAATTATGAATCACTTAGCTACAAGCTCGTGCCTATAATCTAAAAAATTTTGATAATATTGTACCACGACAACTACCTAAGTAAATGTAAGTAAGTAAACATTTTTATTATTTAATTGATAGTAAAATTATTTTTTTTGTTGCATTTACGAGAACTAGAATGATTTAAAGTCGTTTTTTCGCGTAAATACTATGTAATACTACGGTTAAATAAGTCATGACGTCACAGTTAATTCATATAACCATGGTTAGGTTTCTAACATTTGACATTTGTTTACTTGTTCATAACCTATAATTTTTGAAATGTGTTTTTACCTATTTATATTTAATTTCTATGCTTTTACCGGTGTAAATAAATTTCTTGTTCATAACCTATAATTTTTGAAATGTGTTTTTACCTATTTATATTTAATTTCTATGCTTTTACCGGTGTAAATAAATTTCTTTGCCTCTTTTTATACCTAGTATATTCTTTTTCTATAGGTACTAGTTTTTTTAATACACGTTATCCAATTCTCCTACATGTTTAATACAAAATAAGGAAGAATATAAAAAAAAACCTGCATATAATTCCTCCACTTGTGGAGATTCACAATATGGAGCACCCTATCATTTATTTTTACTGACAACACCCCGTTTACCATTTTAATACAAAGTTTAAATTCGGTTTGAGAGCCATTGTACCTACTTAAAATATTCCATCCATCCATCAGTTTCTTGCGACTTACCATCCAAGAACATAAAACCCTGTACGAAGGTATGTTTATATTTTTTTTGAAGGGCAAATTGTCATAAATGTTTCTTTTAGGGTTTTTTTTCTTGTGTACGTTTAACTTTTGGTATTGCTTTTACGTACATGGTACTCGCGTATAAATGGATGGGGGTGAATTTCTTGGAGATATATCATCGAATCAGCGCTGCTATAGCAACGGGGGATTTATTAAACAGGATGTACAAAAGAAGGTATACATTGTGACGTAGTTCAAATTGTAGATATAAATATTATTGTAAGCAATGTTATGCATTTATGAACATATAGATTTGGGTCTTTTATACAGCAAGCTGATGGGGTTATTTAAAGGGGTAGATTGTAAACCGAGTAGATATTGGCCAATACATACAAGGGTAGTTGTAATTATTTGCCTGTTATGTATAATTTAAGAAAATTCTAAAACGTTAATATAATATATATATTGTATACGTGATTAAATGTTGAATTGTTTTTAGTAATTTTTGTTACCCAAATATTTCAGAAAAAATTACTTGGTGCCCAATAAGGTAAGTAGGAATTTCGAAGAACATTTCACCCACGATCACCTGAGCTAGCGGGATTTGGTGACTCAGAGAAATCTGTGTTATAAATACATACCATAATGGTGACCTAAGAACATCCACATCATTTATTCAATGCATTCATACCCTACACATATCGAAACAACAACTAAAAGGTAAATACAGTCGTAACCTAAAAATATACCAAGATCTTCTTGGTTATTAATAAAACTAAAATAAACGTACTCTTTTAGGTATGGCAAATTACACAATGAAGCCAGCGACCTTAAGACCCCAAAATAATAATCATAAATCATAAATAATCATAAAACATAAAAATACAATACTCTCAAGCCGATATGCGATATACAGTGTGAACAAGTGTGTACTCAATAAATTAAATTATACTTATACAGTGCTTAACTTATCTCTATTATATAAATCATGTATCGTTACTATTTGTAACTTTACAAACTAAACAACTACTCCAACCAATATAAACACGTTCATTTTCCAAAAGCATTTTACGAATAAAAGGCGAACCTTCTATAATTATATTATCGGTGTATTGTTTTTTAATGCGCGTTATAAGTTTAATATCTGTATTTAAGCACTTGATATTTGCCCGGGAAATAAGATTGTTTACGAATTGGTCCTCGATCACATAGTCTTTTTCTACACCATGTATAATTATTTGCGGTCGAAGTTTAATGGGTTCATTAAATGAGTATTTATCTCCAAATTTTTCGGTAATAGTTGATTTTAATTTATGTAAATCTTCTGTACCACCACAACTTACTAAAAGGCCATTTTTTACAGTCCTGGTTTTAAGTATGGATACTTTTAATTCTTGTGGGCCTACATTTGATTTAATTTCTTTGACAATAGATACGTTTTCTTCATTCGTTTTGGACCTTATAATTGTTACAGCTGTTTTCGGTTTGTTTATATTTTTATTTACAACGTTTTTTATTGAACCACTGTTTTTTACTGCATTGCTATAAGAAGCCTTGGATATGTAATTAAATTCTTAAATTTCAATTCAATTGAACTTAGTGAACTTTGTTCACTAACTATAACCTTGACCAACTACAGTTCCCTCTTTAAGCACTCATTTTCTTTTAATAACACTTCCGGATCTACATTTTTTAGCCTAGTATCACTATCTTTATCAACACACCCTTTACAACGCCAATTTAGTCTGTCGGCCTTAAATACTTTAGCAATTGATTTAAAACATTTTGAGTGGATACAGCACTAACAATATATATATATATATATATATATATATATATATATATATATATATATATATATATATATATATATATATATATATATATATATATATATATATATATATATATATATATATATATATATATATATATATATATATATATATATATATATATAGATACGGTATCAGTTGGCATCCCTCCATATAAAATTTTAGGTTCAACTGGCATCCATGAGCCAAATGACATCCGTTATTCGGATGCCATGTGACCTACTGCTAATTTTTATCTAAAGGTAACGCAGATGCCCTCCTAACCCACTAGAACCAATTTTAGATTGGAGTCCAAGTGGACCCAGTATATTTTTTCAGTGAATATTTTACTTGGGCAAGTCTCCGATGGTGTCGCCACCTTCGATATTAAATATTCACTATACTGAATACTAAGAGCAGCTTTTCGTACAAGGCGGCATCCTTTAAATAAATCAGGTTATCAGATGACGCGCCAATTTATCGCATCTGTGAATTACCGCGAATGCGTTTTTAGGTTAGTTTTAATTTGTGTTTTTATACAGTTTTAAGATGCAGAAGAACAGTTTTGTTAGCAAATATTCTTTTAAACCTCGAACATTGAGGATTTTGAAGAATGTTAATACAGCAGGTAGGTAAAAAATAGGTTTAATGTAGTTTTTAATCTTTTTTTTAAATCCGTAGCTATAAAAAACAAATTGCACGACTGAAATTGTCGTTTTCTTATTTTTCAATCAATAAAAATGCACCTATAGGTAGTTACCAAAACTTTTTAATAGAAAAGTAGGAATAATAATACCCATTTTACAAAAAAATATACCCAATGTTTTAAAACAAGAGTTTCACCAGATTTGTGATTAATAATTATTTTAATTACTTATCATTATAATTAATTAATAAAAGTTTTAATATTTATAAATTTGTATATAAATAAATGTCATTTTTGTTAATATATATTGGAAAAAATACATTAAAAATATAGGGTGCTGGTGAGGAAAAGGCATAACTACTTTTAATGAATATTTTTCTGTTATTTTGACATCTGACAAAAACCAACGGCATCAAACAAAAACTATTATATCCTAATAAATTGCCGACATTATAGTAAAAAGTCTTAACTTAACTTAAAAAAATCACCCTAGGAAAAATTAAAAAAAACAAAGTCTATCAGAAATTTTGTATAGGAAATAAAGTAAATAATACAAAACAGCATACTAAAAAACTAAATCGTCCCAAAAATAAGTTTTACATTTGTAGGTATTTATTTTCAAATATTCTGTAATTAAAACCAAGTTTTTTTAAAGATCCTGTATCTTCTGATGAGGGTGATGTGTCAGATCACACTGAATATATACCCAAAACAGACTCTGAAGATTCAAGTGGTAAATTCAAATTATGATTATAGAATATACGTGGGTGTTATCATTTTCTTTTTTAGATACTTATTTTTATCATTCGTCTGAAAGCGAATCAGATAATATTGCTCCTTATAGAACAGGTAAGGCATTATTGTTTTTTTATTATAATTTATAACTTTTCTTATTATAATTTTTAATTAAATATAACTGTTAAAAATTTACTCATTATTGTGTAAATAAGCTGTATCTACAGGTTGCAGATAAAATCCTTTACTGTAAGCCAAATTTGATTTTAAAAAAATATGGCTGGTCAAAAAAATGTTTTTTTTAGTATTTAAAACTTACTTTAATTTTTTTCAACGGGAATTTTTGTTTTTTTTCACAAAAGAAATAAAATAAAAATAATTAATGACAATCGGTGCACCGATAGCACATGACATCCCACATGTAATCTACATAGCAAGGGTTGACATTTGAAATGAAACGTCAAAAGAAATAAAAAAATGAAAGAAAGCATTTTTTTCTTATTCTTTTATTATTTAAATATAATTTGATGTTTTTTTTTTTAATAAATTTGTGCCTTAAAAATTAAAGGAATAAAATGACTATCACTTTTCTCATCTAGACGCGAAAAGTGACAGTTTTGCACGTCAAGACCGGTAAAGTGATTCACTTTAAGTGACACATTCTCGATTTTAAAAAGACAACAATGTCAATATTACATATATGGTTGAAAAAAAATACATTTTTACTCAAGCTTAAAGATATTTTTTTAAAATTCTTTTTAAACCGTGTTAGTGCCGAATCACATAAGGGCCATTCCACGCTTAACGGATAGGACAGTTGCCGTGTTTTTATTTACAAAATAATATTGTTCTATTATATTACCAATGTCAAATTTTTATAAATAGTTCTAAACAAAAGCTGTTTAACAAGGTTTTTATTTGGCAAAATTAGGTATCGTGATTGACTGTTTAATTCCTTAAAAATTAATAATTTAAAGCGTAACGGGCGGGACTATTACAAAGTCCCGTCAGTTACGCTTTAAATTATTAGTTTTTAAGGAATTAAACATTCAACCACGATACCTAATTTTGCCAAATAAAAACCTTGTTAAACAGCTATAGTTTAGAACTATTTATAAAAATTTGACATTGGTAATATAATAGAACAATATTATTTTGTAAATAAAAACACGGCAACTGTCCTATCCGTTACGCGTGGAATGGCCCATAATTTTTAGAAATTTTAGAAATTAACCGTTTTTACATAAATCCGTATTTTAAATAGTTTTATTATTTTACTTAATATTAAAGTTAACCCATTAAAAAATAGTAATACACAGATGGCTGGAATAGAAAAAAAACTATTTTTATTTCTGTCACCTGTGAATATTAAAGATAATTTTCTATATGAAAGTACCTATTTTTTAATAGTTTTATTATATTACCTAATATATTTTTATAGATACCAAGAGGTTCGATGAAATAACGGAAGTAAATAAAACCACTACTAAAGAAAATATTTCATATGAGGGTATATTTTTAATTGCTTTATTTTATTTATAATTTAACGTTATATCTTCATAGGTACTACTAGCTATGATGGGGTAACTGAATTGAGATACATAGTAATGGACAGTATCGAAAATACACCCTTTTTTAATGATTTCGAAAACACTGAAACTAATAGGGAAACTATCTCGTGCAAAGGTTTTTAATGTTATTTTTTCTAAATGAATTATAAAACTATTCATTTTTTAAGATACTGCCTTCATTGACGAAAAAAATAAAAAAGATAATATATCTCAAACTAATAAAAGCAAACGAGTTCGAAGAAAACACAGCTGTATATTTTGCGATGTTTTGGTGACCAATTTTGCTCGACACTTAGAAAGATGCCATAGTGATGAATTAGAAGTACAAAGATTTTTAAGTTTGACCAAAAATGATCCAGAGCGAAAATGTCTTATTGATAAAATAAGGAAAGAAGGAGATTTTTCTACAGGAGAAAAGATACCTGTTCTTAAAGTTTGTAGTGACACTCCAACAGAAACCAATTTATTGCCTTGTATTTTTTGTAAAGGTGAGTATTTATTTTACATAATAATATTTTTTATATAATTAAGGTATTTAACTTTATTGTTCTTATTTACAGAAATTGTAATTCCAACTTAATTTTACATGATATTCAACAATATTTGATAAATTTGATAATATCAAATTGTCAATTGGCTATAAGAATTATTTAATTTTTTTAGGATATTATGCAAAAAAAACTCTGAGACGCCACGTAAAAAGGTGCAAATTTAATAAAATCCAATCTCCTACAAGACATTCTCAATCCCAAGCGCAGAATATGATGGTAAATCATTTTGGTCCTAATGATCCTCTTCGGACCTCAGGTGTTTTAAATTCACTGGCTGCAGATGAAATCTCTTTAGCTGCTAAAAAAGATAAAATAATATGCGAAGTAGGAAGGCAATACGTAAAATGTCATAAGGATAAACATTTAGTCCAAGTAGCGAAACGACAAATGAGACGACTTGCACGTCTTGTGATTGAGGCGAGAAAAATTGAAAACAATTTTAAATTAACACTTTTTTCTTTACTACACCCATCGAAATTCAAAACTATAGTCAAAGCTGTTAGAGATATCTCACAATATAATATTCAAACAAATTCTTTTGGATCACCATCACTAGCCCTTCAAATGGGAACTTTAATTAAAAAAGCAATTAATGCAGCTTATTCTGCAGAAATCCAAAGGGATGTAAATTCTAAGGAAATAAATAATTTAAATGCTATGAAAAATTTGATTAATGACCAATGGGCTTCAGAAGTTTCAACAGAGGCAGGTCAAAACTTAAATATCAACAGGTTTAATAAACCCACGCTTATTCCTACGGCCGAAGATATTGCTGTAAGTGTTATTTTTTTGGGAATTTTTTTATTATTAATTTAAATATAGTTTTTATAGAATTAAAATTCAAAATAGGTAATAGGTGGTATTGTTTGTTAGCCGAAAGTTACTAGAGGTAAAAATTGAATTGACAGTAAAAGTAAAATAAAAGATTTTTTTTACAAAATACTTTTCTTTTACTTTGGTCTAAAATATTAAATATTTAATAAGACTTGTTTTTTGTTCATGTTTTCTTATTTTATTAGCACACTTTACCTACATATTTTCTTAAGTTTTTATACAGTATATATACTAATTTTTAGCAAGCACAATTTATAATAATGGTGACTTTTTGGCATAAAATCAATAATAGTTTTTCTTCTTCTTGTCAACTCCATCTAAGGGCCCTCTTATACACCAATAAAATTAATTAAAATTAAAATTTAAGTTAGGTATAAGTAAATTTTTATTTTTTGTTTCTTTGAGTATTAACTCATAAATTAAATTTTTTCTTTACAGAAATTTAAAAAATATTTGGATGAGCTCCTCGATAATTTTACAAAGGAATTAAACAAAGCCGAAGAAAATGTAAAAGCATATAAGACATTATCAGAAGTAGTTTACTGCAGCCTACTGCTTTTTAACAGAAGAAGAGTTGGAGAACTTCAAAGAATACCTTTAGAAATCTATTTGAAAAATCACAATAGTCAGTCTTCCAAAGAATTTGAAAATCTATTAACTCCTTCTGAAAAAATTTTATTAAGTTCCTTAAAGCGCATAGTAATAAAAGGAAAGAGGGGCAGAGGTGTTCCGGTTTTGTTTGACCAGTTAACAACACGTGGAATAGAAAGTATGATTAAAAAAAGAAACGTATATTTTAAAACATACAATGAATATTTATTTGGTATTCCGAACACAAACTCTTGTATTAGTGGTTATCAAGTTTTAAGAAAACATGCCACTATTGCATTAGGTGATGCAAAAAAAATACAATGTCTTACATCGACGCGTCTTCGAAAGCATCTGGCTACAATTTGTCAAATAATGAAAATGGGTAATAGTGAACTGGAACAACTTGCTAAATTTATGGGACATACGTCGAAGACACACGAAGAGTGGTACAGACTACCATCGGACGTATATCAAACAGCAAAGGTATCCAAAATTTTACTCCTTTCTCAAATTGGATCTATTGAAAAATTTAAAGGATGTAATATTGATGAAATTTCTCTAGATGATAAAATAGTGGAAAGCCAAAAAAGTGACAGTGAAGAAAGCGATGTAGAAGTAAATGATAATAATGAAAATTTCATGCGGCCCTCAGTTGACGAAAACAAAGAAAAAAAAGTAAAACGACGTCGATTATGTCCTTGGAGTGATAAAGAAAAGAAAGTTACAGAAGATTTTTTTAAAACACACATAAAACAGAAAAAAGCACCGAAAAAAGCAGAAGTGACAGAACTAATAAACAAATATCCAGACTTATTTAAAAATCGAACCTGGGCAACCATTAAAGTTTACGTTCAAAATAAATATAAATGAACTTTTATTTTAATTACCTAATTTATTTATTTTAATTACTTATATTTAAATAAAGTTTTGTTTTTCAAAAGATATTTGTTAACTTTATTATTGCCCTTTTTTTCTGTGGCTTGGTCGAAAAAGGGCCTAAGTGCAAAAAGACAGTTCTGAGTAATTTCACTTTAAACGTCATGTAACCAATGGATTTAAATGTGAATATTTTTTTTAAATAATTTATATTTTAAATATTTTTTAAGATATTAGGATAAAACTTTTTCCGTACGAAAGATAAGGTTAAGATTAGTAATATAGGTCATATAATTTTTTGTCAAAAATGCACTTGGGCCCTTTTTCGACCCACCAACAGATTTATAAATTAAAAAAGCTTAAATCCAGCCAAAAGTCCAAAAAAGGAGATGTTATCAAGGGAATCAGTTCTCCTTTTTACATAGAAATATTATCTCAAAAATTCACGTTAACAAAAACGCCAAAAAAGAAATAAATATGTATTTTTACATTAACCCCCTTTTAACCCTATTAAAAATTTTGGTTTTATATTTTTTATGCATGCAACTAGTGTACCTCCATTGTACAAATTATAAAAAAAATTGTAAGTAAAGTAAGAATTAAAAAAAATATTCCCTATTTTCCACCCCTTTCTGTGAAGCGATCCGATGATGGCTTAAAAACCTAAAAGTTATATATTTTAGGGTAAAAAGCCGTTTTAATAAAAACGAATGTTAAGTAAATACTGAAATTCTCTTGGAGGCCAACCAAACCTATAATTTAAGTAACTGGATGCCACTCACAACAAGGAATTATATATATTTTTAGGGATGCCATCTAATCCGAAATCTATATAGGATGCCAAGATCACCACAAATATAACGGAACAATATTCACGCGTATATTGAAGGATGCCAATTGGGATCAAAAGTGTATCGGATGCCAAGTGATACTACATATAAATATATATATATATATATATATATATATATATATATTCCTCATAAAATTCTTAATGAAATTGCTGTACCATTCCCTATACCTAAACTTAATAGTTTTCGAGTTAATAATTTTTTTCGTAAAATTTTGACAGTTGCACCTTTATTAAAAATAGCTTATAACTTTTTTGATATTCGGTTTGCTGGTATGCTGTAGGGATTTTTGGAATCTTAAAACATTGTTTTAAAGATCCCATGTCTGAAACTTTCATATTTATGATCAAAAACCAGGAAAAAAATCGTGTTAAATTTAGTTAACTTCAAACATTAATAAGTTGTTTATTTTCAATGGAACGGTATGCATGTTTTTACATAATCAAATAGGAAAATGAATTACATTTTGATTGTTATAACCATTCCCTATACCTAAATAGTAAGGTTTCGGAAATACAAGCAAATTTCTGTAAAAATCCAATATTTTGACATATTTATCTCAGATACCGATGAAATGTCACAACAAATTAGTTACGTCATTGGTTGACAGTTGATACATTTCTTAAGAAAGATATTTTAAAAATAATGGAAAACAACAATTAAACAAAGTTTTAAGAATTTAATTATTATAAATTATAAAAAACGTGATGGAAAAAATAACAACCAAAATACTATTTTAATAAATGTTCAAAATGGCGACCATTGACTTGCAAACATTTTAAAATGCGGAGCCTGGGAGATTCCGTTGTGACATTTCATCGGTATCTGAGATAAATATGTCAAAGTATTGGATTTTTACAGAAATTTGCTTGTTTTTCCAAAACCTTACTATTTAGGTATAGGGAATGGTTATACTAATCGAAATTTAATTCATTTTCCTATTTGATTATGTAAAAACATGCATACAGTTCCATTGAAAATAAAGAAGTTATTAATGTTTGAAGTTAACCAAATTTACCACGATTTTTCTCTAGTTTTTGATCATAAATATAAAAATTTCAGACATGGAATCTTTAAAACAATGTTTTAAGATTCCAAAAATCCTTACAGCATACCAGCAAACCGAATATTAAAAAAGTTATAAGCAATTTTTAATGAAGGTGCAACTGTCAAAATTTTCCGAAAAAAATTATTAACTCGAAAACTATTAAGTTTAGGTATAGGAAATGGTACAGCAATTTCATTAAGAATTTCATGAGGAATTTAAAAATAAAAAAATTTACAGGGTGTTCCATTGGAAATAACAAAGTTGATGTCGCTTCCGGTTAAACCGGAAAAGGAATTTTATTCAAAATAATTTTAGAAGGTAGATTAAATTGTACAATAATTGCTATAAACGTAAACGTCTAAGGTACCATCACTGCGATGATAGACCCAAAGATTATTATCTTTGGATAGACCTCTTAATATTAATATTATGGACTTTCACCATATTTTTTTTTGTCACCCCAAACAATATTTTCGATATACTTTCCAAAAAAAAAGTCGATTTTTTTGGCCCAGTCTAATATATATATACAGGGTGTCTCACCAGTGCACTGTGTATATATATATATATACAGGGTGTCTCACCAGTGCACTGGTGAGACACCCTGTATATATATATTAGACTGGGCCAAAAAAATCGACTTTTTTTTTGGAAAGTATATCGAAAATATTGTTTGGGGTGACAAAAAAAAATATGGTGAAAGTCCATAATATTAATATTAAGAGGTCTATCCAAAGATAATAATCTTTGGGTCTATCATCGCAATTTTAGATTTTTTTTCCTTAGCGAGTTTTTGTCTCAGAACTTCCAAATCATTGAGTTTAACAAAATTGATTTAAAAATATTTTTTGAAGAAAATTGAATGCTCTACAAAAAAGGTTTTATTAGAATTTCCGGTCAGATGAACCCTTTTCTTACAATCATGCCTTAAAAATTGGTATAGGTTTACAATTTGATCTTTTAACTTTGGAATTTTGTAATTCAAGTACCCTGAAAAAAATGATAAATATTCTTATGGGAAATCAAATGCTCTACAAAAAAAGTCTTTTATCATTTTTGGCTAAATTCACTCCATCAAAAGTTATTCAAGGTTAAATTTGAAGTCAAAACGAAATTTTAACCTTGAATAACTTTTGATTGAGTGAATTTAGCCAAAAATGTTAGGAGGCTTTTTTTGTAAAGCATTTGATTTTCCATAAGAATATTTATCGGTTTTTTATGGGTACTGATTTTTACATGAATTACAAAATTCCAATTTAAAAGATCAAAATGTAAAACTATTTTTAAGGCATGATTTTAGGGAAACGGTTCATCTGACGGAAAATTTCACTTTAACCTTTTTTGTAGAGCATTTAATTTTCTTAAAAAAATATTTTTAAGTCAATTTTGTTAAACTCAATGGTTTGGGAGTTCTGAGCCTAAAACTTGCTGAGGAAAAAAAAATTAAAATTGCGATGATAGACCTCTTAATATTAATATTATGGACTCAAACTTTCACAATAATTTTTTTTTGTCACCCCAAACCATATTTTCGATATACTTTTCAAAAAAAAAATTGTTGATTTTTTTGGCCCAGTCTAATATATATATACAGGGTGTATCACGGTCGATGGTAGGTTAGACGTTTATGGAGAACGGCAAAAGATTTCGAATTGAATTTTTATAGCAATTATAATATCATTTAAACTATTCTTCTAAATTATTTTGAACAAAATTCCTCTTCCGGTTTTAACGGAAGTGATATTAACTTTGTTATTTTAAATGGATCATCATATTTTTTTTTACATTTTTAAATTCCTACTATCATTCCTTATAAAATGGCTATACCATGTCCTATACCTAAACTTAATAGTTTTTGAGTTATTAATTTTTTTGTAAAATTCGGTCAGTTTCACCCTCAACAAAAAGAGCTTATAACTTTTTTATTATTAGGTTTGCTGATATCCGGTTGGATTTATTGGAATCCTAAATCATTCTTTTAAAGATTCCATGTAATTTATTTTAATATTTCTAAAAAGATACTTGATAAAAAACAATGTGAATGTAGCTAACTTAAAACAGCAATAACTTTTTTATTTTCAATGGAACGCCCTGTATATTTTTACATAATTAAATATGAAATTATAATACCTTTTTATTGATATAACTATTCCCTATACCTAAAGTTAATAATAACAAAGATATTTTACAATTCCTATTATTTATTATGTATTTCAAATTTTTAAATATTAATATTAATTTAAATTAATAAACAATACTAGTGTAATCTACGAATGAGTTTTAAAAATCATATGACAAGAAAATAATATTAATAATAAGAATATTTTTTTCGGTGTTTGTAAATAAAAGCACTTTAATAATTTTTGGTATACCATGATATTTCATGGTTAACCATGGTACAAGTTTAAAAGCAGCTACTAATAATTATTAATTTAGTCATTTTTGACTAATTTATTTTTAGAGAGCACCGAAACAAAAAGCAAATAAGTCGTTTTGTAGGTATGTGTATAAACGGTCTGATTGAACGCCCGGTACCTTCAATAAAAGGTATATTATTATTTACTAATAAGGTTAGAAATACATTAATTAAATAAAAATATTGTTTTAAATTAACAAAAAATTGTTAATAAAATAGTTAAAAATCACTACTCAAATGAAGTTTTGATGAACTTGTTTATTCTTCATTGACAATATAACAAACTTATTGCTAGAAAATGCAGAAACTTTTTGTGTGTTGTACCTTTAATTTGGTTACCTATCCATTAAGGATAAATATTTTCAACTTCTTTTGAGTAGTTATTTTCCTTTATTTTAATAATAATAAATATCGGGAAAGTTTTGTTATTCATACCAAATTAATACACATAAGCAACATTTTATCAGTTTTTCTTCATATTATTAGGTTAATTGTAAAATATCTTTCTTAATATTAACTTTAGGTATAGGGAATGGTTATATCAATGAAAAGGTATTATAATTTCATATTTAATTATGTAAAAATATATAGGGCGTTCCATTGAGAATAAAAAAGTTATTGCTGTTTTAAGTTAGCTACATTCACATTATTTTTTTACAAGTATCTTTTTAGAAATATT